AATAAAAAAAAAAAAAACAAAGTGAACAAAATGGGGAAATGAAACAAAACTCATTTCATTTCATGCTAAAAAAAACTCTTGTCTCGCTGCCTTAACTGAAGTCGTTCTTTTGCTTTAATAATTCATTGTACAACGGTTTGTATTTAGAACATCTGTAAATATAATCTCTCTTTTTTTGCAAAACGTCTCTCCAGCCCTGGCGAAATCGTGACTATGGCGGTGTGTCAAAACCTATCGAGCTGCCCACATAGACAACATCACGGGGCTTCACTGGCGCTCGCGAGCATTATGTTTGGACCTCTCTGAAGGCGCCTAGATGCCTAAAATGCTGTCTGAACAGATAACATACTTGGTTTAGCAACAAAGCCTGTGACTCACTTGTCAACAGCCAATATTTTGAGAAAAATACAGGAAGGAAAATGAGACAAACGAGCGTTATGAAATGCGCGAAGATGAATTTCAGGCTTGTTATGTCATATACAATATCATACCAAAACGCTCTTATATCATGCAGTTGTCGGTGCGCATCAAATGTGCTGGATTTACAGCAAACGGCTCGCCAGCTAGCGATCTTTGCTTGGCAAAATGACAAAAGCGAAACATAAATCCCAGTTAAAGTGACAGTTTACCTGGTCCAGTGGCAGATCAATAATCTTGCTAATTGGCTGCAGCAGTGTGGAGCCCGTGCAAGACGTTGAAGTGGCCATGATTCAGTCCAGCTCCACTCCCTTACAGTCAAATCGCCCAAAACACCGTCTGTCCTCTTTCTCCTTTCTCTCCCTCTCTTCCTGTCTTTATGGAGGATGGGTGTTGTTGGGAATGCTGTTCTCTGGTGTTGCTCTGGTCGCGGACTGTCAGCGCTGTTGCACCACCTGAACATCAACACAAAGCCCGCGTAGGCGGACTGACTCGCCCCTCCCCTCTATTACATCAAACTACTGCTGCTCAATCACACACACACACACACACACACACACACACACACACACACACAGCGCAAAAGAACTTTACTGCCACTTCCTCTCACCCCCCTCATTTACTATAGCAATGCAAGCGTATTTTTTAAATTTACAGGGAGAAAAATAAATATTATTTTTACATGAGTTAATTATGGCGTTTTGAAAAACTGCACTTAATAAATAAAATAGTTAAATGATGTACATGCACATAAGACTCCAGACAACCAGTCTTCTAGAAGGTTGCTTTATTTAACATGACATGAGGCGGGTCGCCCCTTCATGGGCGTGGTCATGTTGACATCACATGACTAGCTGTGTCATACAACTGAGTTTCTAATAACAATAATAATAATAATATATAATAATACAATTTCAGCCATTGCTCAAAGCACTTTGCACAGTATAAACATAAAAGTAAAAACAATACAACACTAACACAATGTACATATGACAAATAAGTTAGGACTAAATCTAAGTATGCTCTATCAATAAAAGACTAGATTTTCTCAGTAACACTTTAAAATAACTTGGCACTAAAATAACTTTACCTTGAAAAATCAGTCCTAAATCATTCTGATGGTACACGGACTTCTAATAAGACAAATGACTTCTCTTTCCCATGCTCCCTGTTATCCAGAGGCATTATTACTAATACTCGGAGCATGAACGTTTGGTGAAATGCTGTGAAATTCTGTGAAAAGTGTGGATTGCTTTACAGCAAGCAATAAAAGCATGTGTACAGTTATATTATTTATATAGGCATATTTATGACAGTGAATTCCACTCACTGCTTCAAAGTAAAAAAATAAACAAAACTACATACAGTTGCTTCAACATTACCAAGCATTATGACATTAGCTATTTATTACTCAACAAACTAATAGTAGGCTAAATATTAATTTAAGCAGCTGTGATAAGAAATGTGGTAAAATTATGGGTTTATATATCTGGACACTGACCCCCAGCAGCACATTCACAGACCCCATGGTCATAGACCCTTGCAATCTAAAATTAGATTGAATTACATGATAAATACAAAGGTATTGGAAAAGAAATAGAAAAAAATACACCTGGGGTTATTGTATCTTCTACGCATGCCTGACCTTTGTGACCTAGACCCAGAACTGAGATCTGACCTACATGAAATATATTATTAATATGGTTCTTATTATGCAAAAATATGCAACAAGATCATATGGTCAACAAGACTAAGCTTTATGTGCATTTTATTATTACTTTTTCCCCCCAAAAATAGTCACATATAATCTGTAGGCCTAACAACTATAGGCCTAACAACTAAAATTACACTATTTCTGGCATAAAGGCATCCAATGGCCTGGCCTGCATTGCAGATTATTACCCTGAATGTTAACAGATACTTGTAAAATAAACTATATATATGTTTTTTTATTACGTTGTATTAGTGGAATTGCATGCTGTAGAAGAGAACTATCCTAGTGTAGCAGTCAGAGTGCCACCTATTGGTCATAATGGAATATAAATAAAAATCCATGTGCCTATTTTATGAATTTCAATTGCGATTTGTTTAATAAAAACTTAACTTGTTTTACAGAATAAAAAAATAAAAATAGAATCAGTTAAATAAAATTAATGTCAGTGAATTTATTTGCAGCCTGTTTTGTTTCAACAATATTTGATTTGATTTCACACAGCTAAGCCATGTGCAAATAGCAACTGCAAGTCGTAATGTTAACCATTAAAATGATATGCAAATTTCAATGGCTGACAGCGCATGTCCATTATAGAGTTCCAGGATCCAAAGATTAGCACTAAACTCGCCCAATTACGTTTTGTAACAACACCTGCTCGTTTTGCTTATGTGCTACTTAGCCCAGTGGACTTCATGCTAACAAACATAATTAAGTACTAACATTGGTAGGTCAGCATGTTAGTACAACGCTTTGTTGCTCGGGGTCTCTGCTGAACACCTGCTCGACACGCAAGCACAACGGCAGACATACCGGCGAGTCACGGCAGGAGCAGCCCATAATTCAGCTGATCTTCTGTGGTGACTGGGACTAGACATTTACTCCAGTGTGTCTGGCAGGACGCAAATGTTAAACTCTTACCACACACAAACCATAGTAAACACATAAAACCATGTCGCTAACGAAGCTGGTTTGTTAATTCAGTTTCAGTATTTTTTAGAATTTTGACATGGTGAGAAGCCTAGGCCTAGCCTGGTGCTTAACCCTAAAAAGGGCAAAACCATGAAGACATCAGAAAAATTAATTTATTGCTATTTTGCATCTTATTGGGACTCAAATAATACAATTTCATTATTTATTTATTTTTCAAAACTTGTCTTATTTTTGATTTTAATGTTTATATCCCCCAGGACACGTCACCCCCTGAAAACAGAACACTTGCTTATCACTGCTTGTTACAACATGGTTGTAATTCCTGAACGCTTTGGAATACAGACCTATGGTTGGTCTCTTTTTAGATTGCTGAAGTGAAAGCATTTCAGAAAAAGAAAGTATAAAAAAAGTTTACAGTAAAGTTAATGTACTATACATTTTTTATTATATATAAAATAAATATTTGATCAAATATGTTGCACTCTAAAATTGCTATAACATCAAAGCCATATGTCTAACCAAGTTATGTTTCGAATTTGAAGTTGATATCACAAAAATTGTGGTTCCTGTGAGCTTTTGTTTGGGCACTATACCAAAAATAACCACTGGGTTACACCCAAACTCTATTGAATTTCTTGATGCAGTTTTCTGTCACAAGTCAATCATTTTCTGTCACAATATCACTTCTATTACAAAACAGTTACCAAATATGGAACCTTGACTGTTTTTATATCTTGATTTATACCCCTAAAAGGGCGCCATACTCCCTGATACAAACATTTAGAGACAGATTACAAAAAATGTAAGCATTTACATTTTCAATGTAAACCTAATAAGCTAATGCTCTAATGCTGTTTTCCAACATGTGTAAATATGTGAACTAGATCAACTTTTATCAGAGGGTGAGTAGATTTCCCACTACAGGTTGCAGTTTTAAATGCTTCCTGCCAGCTAAACAAAGAATGTAGAAAACAAAAGTCACCTCATCTAAATATTCACAACAAACACCCTTTCAAAATGAAACCAAGAAATAAGACCTACACGTTCACTGCTTCTCCCCACAGGTTCTCAAATGTTTGTATCCCCCAGGATACGTTCCCCTTTTTAGGGTTAAATTGCCAGACTTGTAAAAAAAAAACGTAAATAAGCATATGTTTCAGGGAACAGAAAACGCGCTTTGTGGCAACAAATAAACTGGTTTTAAGTCAATATTAATTTGACTGAAATGACCTATCATTCCAGCATGCATGATTAATGGCCGAAGAGATAGGCTAGCATTATTTTATTTTAAAAAATCTCCTAATCAGTACCTGTCCGTGCTGAAAAGTTTCTTTACTTCCAGTAGGTGGCAGCAAACACCTTCAACACTTTCTAAACAAAAGTTATCCACTTTCCTTCGCCCCATGAAGCTTTGCGTGAATTACAGGGGTTTCTTCTGTTTAACTGCAAATATTACCTAAAAAATCCTACTTTTACTATATGCTATACATCACAAGGCAGTCTTCAAATATTTTATCACACTAAAGGCTTGAATAAACCACTTTTAAAACCAGAACAGATTTTAAAACATCACACACTTGCGGACTTTGTAAATGGTTACAAAAGGTTTGTGCCCTTTATAAATTGTGCAACTGACTGTGAAATCCATCAACTAACTGCCCAAAATCTGCAGACTGGCTCTGATTTTCAGCAATTAACACTCAATCGTCCAGACTGCAAACTGAGGCAAAAATGTGTGCAAAAGTCATGTAGTGTACTACAGCCTTAAGCTGACTCTATCATGTGACAAACAAGCAAAAGGAGACCAAGTAGCAGTTCTTGCTTTTTATTTTACACAATACTAAAACAACTAGTTGGTCCAAAAAAGTCTAAATAAAGAAAGAAAATTAAATGGATATAGGAAAAATGTAGTGTAAAGCATATTATAAAAACGAGGGATACATAAATGTCAACAGCTACTAATCTACAATGTAAGAAGTTACTATATAATGAAAAAAACTTTAAAACACTTCAGTGGGGCAAGTGCACAGCTTTTAGTCAAATCTCCGCTGACAAAAAACAATGCACTTATTTTTCCTCATCGCTTTCAGAGGGTTTCACAGTGTGCCATTTTTTGAAGCAGTTCCTTGAAGACACAAAGCACAAAGCTACATTGCATTTTGTACAGTACACAGGTGTCTTTACTTTGTGACCTGAAATTTTGCACAGGACACAAACTCTCCTCCCACTTGTGGCATCTGACCCGAAATACTCCGGCCAGCATAGCTCTTCCTCCGCAGCAGATGGTCCAGAGGTCTCTTGGTCACATGATGTGGATGGCTCCATGTCTTCTGATTCGCTGGGCGGTATGACAGTCCCTACCAGCTCAGCCACGAGTGCCTCTCGAAATTCCTTCTGGGTGAGAGGGGTCTTTTTCTGAGATTTCAACAGATGCTGGTGGATAATTAAACTGTTCACCACTGCGATATCGACAAAATGGAAAAAAAAGGTCTTGTACCATTTTTTGGTCTTGTGTATGACATTGTAGTACCCAATCAGGGCATCTGAAAGGTCCACACCTCCCATATATTTATTGTAGTCCTTCGCTGTCTCCGGAATTGTGATTTGGCGCTTTTCCCATTCTTTCTTGGGATTCTTGACATGCCTTAAGACGGTACAGCCATCATATGCCTTGTGAATCGTCGAACACATCGAAACCAGTTTTGTGTCCATCCATCTCACAAAGAGGAGCGTACCTTCACGAAGCCAGCGTATGGATCCTCTTTGTGCCCTTTCGCTGAGCTCATTGGCCCTTGTTCTAGGAAAGCCCTGTACATGGGAGCGTATCGTGCCACACGCAACTGTCCGTTTCTCCAGCAAGTCCAACAAAAGGCCTGGGCTTGTATAAAAGTTGTCCATATACACATGGTAGCCTTTGCCAAGAAGAGACAGATCCAAGAGGCGTACCACAGAATCATAACTCAGTCCTTTACCTGTGGCC